TCCACATCTTTCTTCAAGTGTGATGCCCCAAATGGGGATGGTATTCTGGTTTAAGAATGCCCATACTGATTAAAAGGGACAGATGTCTTGTACGTTGTGCTCCCAGTTCATATTCTACTTGTAATCCCCAAAGTTTCCAAAGACTTTCCTGCTAGACGGCTATCTGTATTCACAGAGCTGACTGTTCCTTCATATGTGACCACCTTTGTTGTTATTAAATTGTGTTCTGATTTGTTCAGGTAACTTTTTCAATTTGTCATGATTAATTTGATTTTTAATCCCTGTTCCAGTGTTCATGCAACTCAAATCATATTTCATAGATGTACTGTTTATTCCACTTTTGGAATCACAAGTGAAAATAGCAGGTAAGTATAAAGTAGACACAGCTAAAAAGCACATTCAGTTTGACGGGGAGCTATTGTTATTTATTTTCATGTGGTTTTCCAATTAATTTTATACTATTCCAATGAATTTTGCATATGAGACAAAAATCAAAAACTTGACCCATATCAAGATACGTAGCATCTGCTGCTCTTTCCCATCTTTGGGGGTTGGACCAGATGACCTCTGGAGGTCCCCTCCAACCTCAACCATTCTGTGATCTTTCAAAGGCTGCTACTTTGCTGTAAAATGAATTAAGATTAGTTTAATGTAATTTGCCAAATCAAAATTGCTGTAACTGTCCTTGTTCCAAAGGCCTCTGCTAGGTTTATTACTGTAATTACTGTTGAGGTTCTTGGGCACTTTTACTCTCATACCATCTTTGCAAGTCGTGGTATTGAAATTCATAGTACAAAAAAAGAATTACATTCCTGAGGAACATTTGGAAATTACAGCACATTTCAAAGAACTTCTTAATAGAGACTCCTTTTTTTCTAATGGACTTGACCTTGGTGTACTGGTCATAGTCCCACAGACTTAATGCTTACATAGTTTAGATAAATGATGACAAAAAGATACAGACTAATGAAAAACACCAAGATTACAGTTCTAAACTACTATTAAATCCATGTTGGACGACAATATGTTAAACAAATGTTTAGTTTAAATTGGTCACTATTTTAAGCTGAAGTTATAACATCACAGACTTGTCCAAAGTGCCAGTGAAACTTTAATGTAATTATTCTGAGGATAACTAATCTTATGATGCTTAATTTTAGGGTGTACAATGATGTTGCCTTGAAAGTGTTGAATAGTGTCTTATTTTATATGGTGTTGTTGCCTTGAAAGTGTTGAACGGTGTCTTATTTTATATGGTGATGTTGCCAGCAAAACGTTAATCATAAGAAAAATATAAATAAGGTCTGAGTCATCCAGTCAGATACATACTTTGAGAGTTGCTTACTTTACATATGTTTTACTGCAGTAAACTTCATGGTTTTTAATTGTTATTCTTAGTGGAATAACAGGCCAAAGCTACACCCAAATTTCTGTGCCTGATCTCTCTACTGGCACTTCTAAAAACCTATAGCCAGCCCTTAGGGCACGGGTATGTTTTAGGCTGGCTGAGCCTGGACCACATTTTCTATGTCTTCTATACCTCACAAGGTATACTCCAATGCACAGCAAGGCTTGGTGAGGGTGACTGTCGCAGACTTTCAGAAGTTCAAAACCTGTGCTTGAAGTCAGAGTTGAGGGACGATTTATTGAAGAATGTATATAGGGAAGAATAGCAATTGGAGAAAGTAAACAGATGAGTGGGCTTGAAACTTAGGTTGAAAGTTGTAAACTGCCTTTTCCTTACCCCTGGCTGCGTATAGTTCTGGGATTTAATCTCTTTGACATCTTGAGACAAGTCTGCTCATGTTCCGAAGACCTTGATGCTGCTTTTAGATTGCTGCATTTCATTTAATACCTCTGATTTCCTGAATCCAAAGTTATGAAGGACCAGCTGAGAGACTGCCAATGTCAGTGTTAAAAGTTGGGATTTTTTTGTTGTGTGGTTCCCCCCCCCCTCCCCCCCCGGATGGATTGTTCTCTCTATAGTTATATACTATTTAAAAATCCTTTTATTTTCTCTCTCATGCTGTGGAATATTGATAACCTCTGAGAGACCAGTTTGTCATTATTTTTTTAATTTTTTTTTTAAGATGCTTGATTTTAAAACTAGAACTTTATCTTTCATCCATTGCTTTACTTTGATAGGTAATTAATATATAGATCAATTGATATATTGATATCAGTATTGATATATTGATATCAATAGACATTCATATAAGTTATTCAATGTTTTTTATGCTTTAAAACAAGGAATTTAATTTTCAACCAACTGTAAGTGTATGAAAGCTGCTGTCTTCTTCCTTGTCTTTTCCTTCCTGGTGAATAACGAAAACAAGCTGTGTTTCATGGTAAAGTATAACCAGCTGCCATTATCAATAGGAACCTCAAGACTGAATTTTCATCAGGACACTGTTAAAGTATGTTGTATTAGAACATCATATGTTGCCAGTGATCACAGAAAACCTGGGCAAAGGGTTAGAGTTCTGGATTTCCTTTTAGAGTTCATGTCAAATGTATCACTTCTAACAACAGTAACGAGCAACTGTGTCTCATTCAGAGTGCAGTTTTGTGTACAATCCAGGTGTCTGAGTTCTAAGAAATGGACCCGTCCTGAGCCTTTGGACTGGGTCCTCTCTAGCCATTAACAGAAAGCAGTCTACACATTCGTTGGTGCAGTTCCCAATAAACTGTCAAGAAAACCCTGGTCAGAACCAGGATTGAAAGAATCATAGAATCACAGAATAGTTTGGGTTGGAAGGGACCTCTAAAGGTCATCTAGTCCAACCCACCTGCTGTGGGCAGGGACATCTTCAACT